CCCTGCCGAAGCCGGGCACAGAGCCCAGGGGTGCGGGCTCCCAGCCCCTCGTTGCCCGCCTAGCCCCCCTCGGTGTCCTAGAGCTGGGCGCCAAGTCCCCAGGGCCCAGCCCCCCGCTCCTCCCGCCCGGCCCTCGGGCACTCCCAGAACCAGCGAACCCGGGCGTCCAGGCTCTCGGCCCGCGGCACGCCCTGCCCTCGGGCGCTGGGCTGGGACCCAGGCGTCCGGCTTCCTGTGTGCCGTCTCCGGAGCCGCCGGGCCGAGCTCCCTGTCCCAGGTAAGTACCCGGGGGCCAAAGACGAGCCCAGGGCAGGTGAGTGCCAAGCCCGGCTGGACACTGGCAGGGGGATGCTGGGGTGGCCAGGCTGGACGGGAAGGTCTTTGTCCCCTCCGGGGTGTAACGGACGTCCGCGCGCCCCGCGGTGCAGCCGGGAGGGTCCGTCCGGCTGCTCCGGGCCTGGCTGCGGGGTGCTGGGCCGGGGATTGCATGGGGTCAGGCCCGGGCTGGGAGGGCGTTGGCAGGGCCTCCGTCTTGCACGAAACTTAAACAAACCATAAACCCTGGCACCGGCTTTGTTGTCCCGCAGCAGGAAGCAGCAACAGGTGCTGGATTTTCTCCCGGTGCTTCCTGCTGGGGCAGGGCGGGGCAGGGCAAGGCACCCTTACCCACCTCTGCTGCGCCCAGCCAGGCATGGTCCGCGACTGCCCCCGCCGCTGCCTCAGCGCCGGCCGGACCGCTGGCAGCATGGCCCTGCGCAACCTGTCGCAGCCGACGTACGAGCCACCCCCCGCACCCCTGGCCGGCAGTATGCCCGGGCTGGACAGCATGGCACGTGGCTTCCTGGGGCTGGTACAGCCCAACGCCTTCCCGGCTGGTAAGAGATACCCGCCCCCCACCGCAGATGCCCTGGGGATGGGCTTGGGGGTCAGCTCCCCCGTGCCTCAGTTTCCCCCTTTGGGCTCCCCAAACCTGCGCCCTGCCCTGTGCCCCCACGGCCTCGGGAGCCCGGACTCCTGGGTCCTGCCCTGCTGCGCTGCGCCCCCATCCTGGGCTCTGGACCTGCCGGGGCTTCACTACGGACCCCAGGCCGGGCTGGCATCTCCCTCGCAGGCCGCGTCCGGATGGGCGGCGCCGCAGGGACCCGAGGCCTTGCCCACCGGGGCCGTTGTGCCAGCGGGAGGGTCCCCCGGGGATGTCCGTGGCCTGTGCCCTCCTCTGCTGCCCCGGGGACCCTCCCATCATCCGGGCCGGACTTGCTGCGGCTCCAGAACCGCGGCTCCTTTGTGTCGCCGGGAGCTTCCCTGCGCGGCCCTTCCTGCTGCCGCGGCTTGGCCTCCTGTTTGCTCTGGTTGGCAAACAAGCAGACGCCGGGCTGGGCTGCGGGGCAGGCTGCAGGCCAGAGCCGGGCAGGGGCAGGGGCTGCAGAGCCCGGGGCCATGGGGTCCTGGCGCTGGCTGGGCTGCGTGCCCCGGGGCGGACCACCGGGGTCAAGGTCATGGCCTCGGGGTGGGGAATAGGTGACCCCATGCCCCACCGCTGCCCCTTAGCCAGGTCAGGGTCAGAGGTCATGACTAGGGGTCATTGCTCCGTGCAGCAGCCCAGGGTGGGGAGGGGGCTGCTGGGTCCAGGGCTCTGTGTGCGACCCCCCCAGCCTGGGGGCAGTGGGGCTTCTGGCTCTGCCCCCACGGCCGCTGATGCCCCTTGTCCATTCTTCTGGCCAGAGCTCCTGTCCCGGCTGATCCAGGAGCCGACCCACATCACGGAGCCCACCACGTACAAGCAGGTGCGTGGCCCCCACCCCTGCGCTCTGCCCCCCTCGTGGGCACGGCGCCCGGGCCGCGCTGACTCTCTCCCGCCGGCAGGTGCTGTCGTACGAGATGGGCTTCCTGGTGTGCGCGGCCATCGGCCTCCTCTTCATCCTCCTCATGCCCCTGGGCGGTCTCTGCTTCTGCTGCTGCCGGTGCTGCGGGCACTGCGGGGGCCGCAAGTACCAGAAGCAGGACGAGCTCACGGGCTGCCGGCGCCGCGCGCTTTGCACCACGCTGCTGCTGCTCTCCGGCCTGCTCCTGTGAGTGCCGCGTGGCATGGGGGTGCACGGAGGCTAGTGGGGGCTGCTGTGTGTCATATGCCCTATACTGCCCTGGGGAACTCTCCCTTTGCTGCCCGGGGCAGAAACCTGTCCCCTGCCCTGGCTCTGCATGTGTCCCCATGCGTGACCCCTCTGGGGCTCCGGCTCCCCCTTGCACCACTGGACCATGTGTCTCCATGCCTAGCTGCAGGCTGGCTCCCATAGTCCCCCCTGAATTCAAGA